TTTTTTTTTTTAAATAAAGGCTCCAATTGCTGTGAAAATGGGAAAACTGGCAATAAACAGAGGAATGGAGGTAACAAAAATCAATATATTAAAGGAAGCAGCTATGTTACTGCTAAAATTACTATGGTAAAAATGTTTAGAATGCACAAATACTTGTTTAAACAAAGCGTTTGAAACCTTGTCAAGGTTTTTAAATGCTGACCTTAAAGACAAAATTAACATGGCAGGATTTTGTTCTACAGATGTTAGCACTGAATTCTAATACAGGAGCGAATGTCAGTATCGGTCACTGCAAGTGAATGTTTATTTCTTTGAGAGTTACAAACACCAGAGAATCACTTTCCTTCTCACTCCTCCCTAGGTCGACATCGCGTCAGGGATGGCCATCGAGGGGATGTGTTATGCCCAGGTAAGTTACCTTCAGAACACGTTCCTAGCAGGAGCAATGTTTTCTGAGTGGGTAGAATTTCACAGCACGATCTTGCAATTCCTCCTCTGTAAGGGAGGCCTAATAGGTTAAACCAAGGCACACTTTGCTGCAGTTGCCAATTTCTATTTCAGAATATTAACTGTTTTCTCACAAATAGCCTTTTTCAGCTTTCCTGAGGCTAAAGTCCTTCTTAAATACCCTTCTACCTAGAGTGTATTCTTGCAGTTTCAACAGTACATTAACCAAAGAGCTTTACAAATGGTTTAGTATTAATGGATTAAAAAAATGGGTTCCTGTTTTATATAATTCTTTTGAACAAGCTTTGAGAGCACACAGCTTTCTCAACTCACAGAACAACTTAATTGCTTTGCTCTTTAGTGCATTTTAAGCTGATACATCATTAAATTTATTGAAAATGTTTTTCATTTATGGTTCCCTGGCCTACTGTCTTTTGTCTTAATGTGTTACTTATGATTTACACTCATCTCTCTGTTTTTGTAATTGCAAAATGCAGAAGAGGAGAGTTTATCACTGAGGGAGGAACAATCTCTGTGAAGGCTATAATACCCTTACTGCAAAATTAACCAATATTTTAAACCATATCAGATTTGTCAATGAAAACAAACTTCTCTCTCTTTAAAATGCAGAATATTCCCACAAGAGACCGTCAGGAAGGAATGGCTGCCTTCAGGGAGAAAAGACCACCCCGATTCATTGGCAAATAATGCTTCCTGGCTTCCCTTTGATTTTTTTTTGAGGTACCTGAGGAGCCACTGATTTCTTGAGATTATTTTTGTAACTGCATCTGTGCTTAAATTTTTGCCATGGACTGCATTTTTGAATACTCCACTGGATCTTTTATTGTTGGAAGTATTCCCAAATAAAAAGATTGAACTTTGTAAAGCTGATATCTTTTAAAGCGGGTATGAATCTTTTCTTTCCTCGTTGTCCTGAAGCCCGAATAAATTGACAGTAAGGAAATCAGGCCAGCACAGAATGGACAAGTGGTCCCAGAAAGGCCTTGAATCTAGAGGTAGACCTGATTCATCATCTAGCTTCTGTCCTAGTCGTCACACCTGCCACTTGATCCTCCTCCTGTGGTTCACTAGATGGCTGCACGGGAACGTGAGTGCAAGGCAGGGGCAGCCCAGGCTTCTGCTAGCCAGAACAGTGTAACTCTGATGCATGATTTCCAGCCAAGCAACAGTGGCAAATGCTAGATTATCAACAGCTGCCCCATGTTTGCTGCAAGTGAAAGAAGGTAGAATTCTGTTTATAAACATTGTAGGTACAGTGCAGAGAGGGATTTGGAGTCTAAACATCCTCATCCAGCTTCCTTCCTTAAAAACGGGGCTGAAATTTTAAGTTCCAGAAGGAGGCACTGTCTGTCTGTGCCTTCTTCAGTGTCAGCAATAGTAAGTTTACAGGCATGACCTTCTTAAGAAGAGATCCTGTAAGCAACATGAGATTTTCCCGATAACAGTTTATGAAAGATAACAGCCACATTTGTACTTGCAGTTATTCATTTAGTATGGCTTGTGACATATTCAGGTCTTGCACAGTACAATGTAGATGAACCTATGCTACTCATATCTCAGCAGTGATGTTTCTGGGGAGTGGAATTACTGGTCATCTTCCCTGATGTTATATAAATAGGGCATTTCATCTCCTTCACTTAACACGCTGCAATAGCTGGCTACTGCAATGCAAAGGGAAAGTTTATCCTCAGGAAACTTTCTGAGATATAAGAGGGAAAAATCCCCCAAGCCTGTGTGTCATGCAATGAGTGGTAGGATGTGTGACATGTCCTTCACCCTAGGTCAGAAGAAGGCTCCAGGTAAAGTGGGAATTCTCTTCCCTCACACAATTTAACCACTGAGCAACGCCACTGGGCTACAAGAATAATCTGCAAAAATTTAAAGGTGCAAAGAAAAAAAATTATAATTCATACATAATTTGCTGCACACATCTCAGCCATGGGATTCAATTATAAAGATAATAAACTCTTAAGCTGGATATAGAGCAACTGAACTTCGTCGGCTTGATTGAAATCTCAACAAAATGTCAGCTAAATAAATAGTTCAGACCAGTGGTCTGTTATGAACTGACATTGTTCATTCTTGATTGTGCACTGTACACTGAAAGCATTTGAAGTATGAAATATTACAAATACTGATCTCAAGGCAACTGTAATGATTAAATCCCATTGCCTGGAGTAATGAGTCAGTTACTTCATGGGCAACAAAGGTTCCCCGTAGGGAAAAAGTCTTTCAAGCAAAGGGCTGCAGCTCTTAATGCAAAACTCCTAAGTCAGCAATTGAGGCTCTGACACAGATTCTCAAGACAGTGTTATGATATGCTGTAATTCTTCCATACCTTGACATAAATTTATCACAGTAGCTAAAAGTGTTATAAAAGTTTCTCAGAAAATGACAGCCTTTAAGTAATGCCTCAGATGCAAAGAACTAGAGCTACACACACACATTACGTATCAGTGTCAATAGAAAAAGATGAGTCAGAAGAGAAACCCACCTCATAATTAATAAAGAAATAAAACCTTTCTAAGACAGTCTGCCATTACTGTGCCAGGTAATCTATTCGAGACAACAAACAAAATTAACACAAAGCAGTGGCCTTTCATCTCCACATTTACTATAGATAAGAGGAAAACAAGAGAGTCATCGCTCCAGTCAACTGAACTTACATGTTTGGTGTTGACAGCTGACAACACAGACTGACACCACAGTCTCCTTGCCCAGACTTGCCTGCTGTTTAAGGATGGCCTGTTCGAGGCCTGGGACACGGCCCTGGGGTGGCGCCAGCGCGATGGCTGCTCCCTCCTGCCTGCACCTTTCACAGAAATACATACCCCTGCTCACCAGCTGTGCACGTTTTCAAACATTTCCACAAACACAAAATTCTCTCTTCCCAGAGAGTGTTTCCTTTTGGGGCCTGAGCAGAAGTTATTTCCTTGCTGTCTGGGGCTCCCCTGCACTAGGCCAAGCTGCACGCTTGGGCAGTGGCAGCCCTCCAGCACACTAAGCACTAAAGTTAGAGAGTCAATCAATTTCAGCTTACCAAAAATGCTTATGAAATAACTGCAGTCACTTCATGCGCTGTTAAGGAAAAACACAAGAACACTTGATTACCACGGTAATTCAACTACACCTAAGATACCTCCCTTATCTGTAGCTGAGGTAACTTAAGCAGTTCTTTCACTTACAAAAAGTTTCTTATGTAAAGAGCTGCAGAGGGAAAGCAGGGACATTTAAGGCCTTTAGCCTTCATAAAAACTTGACAAGTGCCATTGGAGAAATACAAAGTGCAGAGTTTAAAAAATGCTTCCAGAAGCATCTATGGGTGGGAGTACTATAATGGCAGATGCAAGTGAAATGTGTTATTTCAGTAGATTTGCACCTTGCAGCTGTCAACACTTTTCAGTTTAAAGGAATTCTGCTGTTTGTCCAAAGCATATGGGAACAAAACAAGAAGGCTATGAAAAAATAAATAAAATTACTCTCTCTGTGCTTGCTTGCTGCAGAATTTCATGAAGTGACACCTTCACCACCTAGACTGTGTTGAACTCGCTTTGTGCTGCATGAAGTGGTAGATTTTCAGCTTTAGTCAACGCACTTCAAGTTCTCCTGTTATCAGGAAGAAAACATTACTGTAAGGAGAGTTGTCATATTTATTTTAAATTTTGTTGGTACCTTATATTTCGTTAACATCAATTCTGACAGTTTGTATTTCCATTTCATGCAGTGGATACCTCCTAGCAAAAGTCCCATAGTGAACACGTCTGGGAAGGGTGGTGGGAAAGGCTTGCAGGCCATTTTCCAAACAAGCTTCATAATTTAAAGCTTCAGACTGTTTCACTTGTTTTTGAATCAAGAAAACTGCACACAGCTAAATATGCATATGGAAATGATGCTAGCCAAGTTATAATTCAGTACAAAAAACAGTCACACATCACTGATGAAATTAGTGATAGTTCATTTTGAAGTTGCTAAAATACATAAAATTAAAGATTAGAGGTGATTTATTTGAAGAATGGGAATTTGTTGGAGGGAAGGGAGGATGGGAAGAAGGGATGGAGTTGAAAATAGCAAAATACGGTCATCCTGAAAAAGCCATTCCTGCCGTACTGCCAAACAGGAAAAAAATCCCTTTTTTAAGCTGCAGTACCAGCACATTTACAGTCTGTGAATCAGTTAGTTGCCATGGAAATATGGAGACAACCCAATAAAAAGAAGTAATGCTTGAAATAAAATCAAGTTTGAACTGGCATGTAACTTGCTTTCATCACTTATATTTTATCAGGCATCTATATACTGTGCAATATTTTTCATTCAACACATCATTTGAAACCCACAGGCATCAGAGAAAGAAGTTGTTACAATTAGCATCTCTATTTCACACCCCACAGAACAATGCAATCAACACAGAATTTACACAGAACACCGGGTGATATTTTGCACTGTGATGTCTTGGAAATATAATTCACTGCACAATACTGACAGAAAATTTACAGAAAACAACAAAGCAATCATTAGTCTCTCATAAATAAGGTGACCAAATACCCTGGCCCTCCAATCAAGACAGGCAATCTCCCACCATGATGAGAAGAACAGGTCAGTATTTCGCTCTGATGAGCTCTCCTTCCCCTACCAGTCTTCTAAAAGCAAAAGAAAAATCTTCCACACAACCAGTAGTAGTCAAGCAAACCAAAAAAGACTTCTCATCAAGCATAAAAGGCTTAGTTCATCCTTTTAGTATTATGTCTGATTTTAATCCTATTTCTATTGCTTGGTCTGGCAAATTTCCCCTTTCCCTGATGCAATGCTGATCCCAACCTTACTAACAAAGTAGAGAGGGCTCAGGAGAACCAAGCTATCAAAAGGGTATTGCTCTAGCAATGAGGAAATCAGAGGAATAGAGCTTGCAGGCAAAGGAAAAGAAAGTGAAGTCCCCATTTGCGTTCAGAAGGGCAACAGGACGTTTTGGTCACCTTAGTTACAAGTGTCGTTGTAACTTGCATGCATGCACTTTTGTTTTCATCTGCAAGAGTGTTGAATCTCACAATCACAAACAGCTCAATTCAAACACCAAACCAGTAAACAGTTCTATAAACAGCAATCATAGGGATGAAATATCTTTATGTCCCGGAAGTCACAAAACAAGGTATTCCTAGAAGTCTTTTTTCTCCCCCGGAGGTGCATATTGATCTGTACAAGTCTCATCTCTTTGCAGCCAGCAATAATCGTACAGGGATGACCAGCTCAAGCAGTGACCATGGTTCCTTTTACAGGTTGCATATACGGTTGCCATTAAAGTTGACATTCACCATAGGTTACCATACACGGTTCTGGGTACCACAATTATTGCCAAATCACTTTAATGGTGACCACTATATTACAAGTTACTCAAACTACACACACATCATAAAGGATTATTACAAATACAATACTTTACACTCTTATACCTGCAGCTTTCAGTTTGGTTTATTTTGTTGCTGTTTTCTGCATGGAGGTGGTCTCCCATGACGCATAATATGTTTTTCCAAACTATCGAGGATGGCAATTGCAATTCGCTGTACATGTGGATCAGTCTGGGCATTTTCTTTGATGTTGTATAAGTGCTGTAAACCTCCTTCTTCAATTAACATACTGCAGTACCTGGTAGCTGTAATAAGAAAAAAAAAATAAGTGAATTTTAGAAAATAATCTACTGCAACAATGGAAAAGGAGAGCTGTGGAAAAGGAGAGCTGTTTCCGTGGCTATGAATTATTTGACAGGACTGGAATTGTCTCTGTCTTACAAGTTGAGCAGAATGTGCCTTGGAATATGCACAATATTCTTTTCCTCTCTCTCCCTCTTGTACATGCATTTTAAGAGCACATAACTACATTTTCAGAAACATGCAGTAAGGGAATCAGAAGTATTACAGGATCTTTAAGTACCCAGGGAAAACATAACCTTTACTGACAGCCTCAGTATAGAACAGTTACAAAAAGTGGTGTCAGATACACTGCATCATTTGTACAGCCTTCAAGAGTGAAAAGTTCCTGAGAAAAGTTTGCCAACTACTACTGATGCTGACCTTTAGATAATATTAAATTGCTATGACTGCCTTTTCCGACAATAAAATTATACTTTTTTCCACTTTTCTTAGTGATTTAAAAAAGTGGGTCTACATCAGCTCTGATGTTAGTATATGCTGGGACAAGCCATAAACACAGCCATACATCTACCATACAAGCTTCAGAAATTGTTTAAAAAAAAAAAAAAAAGAGGAAGAAGTCAGTCACAGAGCATTACCTCAGATGTGCTCAATTTCATCATTCATATCAGTGTTGCAGCACTGAAGTTAACAATTTAAATGCTGACAAAATGTTTCATTACGGATCATACTTACTGCAGTGCAGTAATATTTCAGTTAAGCTAGGATGTGGTATAGCAAAATAGCAAGAGGGGAAAGAAACAAACAAAGCAAACAGCCCCGTTCTTTTCAGGCTCTATCCTCATCTAAAAAAAGGAGGACAAAATAAATTGCATCCCCCTTCCAAGATAAAAAAAAACACCTTGGTGTCAAACACCAAAAACTTTTTTCCCCCCCAAACTGGTTGCCATATTATCAAATTAGTCATCATAATTTCAGGATTAAATATATTTTCTTTCAGAGTTGGTTATTACATTTGCTACTTTGCATTTGGTTTATCTGCAACTTTCTCTGTGAGCTTCTGGCAACAACTATTTTCAGAACTAATCACCAGGAATAAGGGAACCATTGTTTTGATCCCAAATCAGGAATATGTCATTCAAGTATTCTCAGCCTCCTGATTCTACAGTTCAGTTACTCACTGTCAGTCCAAACCTCTGTGGCATGTTGAAAGCTCAGAGGTTAGGGCAAATAAACACTAAAAATAAATACAACATATTTATATGCTATATAGTCACCTGACAGGTTTGAGGTGCAATGTGGTGTAAAAGCTTGCTTTAATTTCATTAATACAGAAATTCAGGGTCATAATCAAAAACCGTTATTCAGAATCCAGCCAGTACAACAGCTTTATCAAAACATTTCTACTTGAACACAGGAATAGTCCTCACAGATCTCTGGACAATGTACCTTGGGATCAAAGTCTCAGAAAAATTACAGTTATGAGCTTTGAAAACACCATGGAGTAGGAAAACTGTCCTTTATATGCAGTTACCTATTGCACCATGTTATTATTTTGGTCCTGAACACTATATATTTATACAGAAGTAGTGATTCATGGGATTGTTCAGCCCTGGGATAAACAAGGATAGAGTTACTGCGGTCAGGAGGATTAAATACTGGCACAGAAAACATCTTTAATACTTCAGAGGAAAGCTGCTTTATATATGGTAGAAATTAATGTCAATACATGTATTTATATCAAATTCACAGAAAAGAGAAATTCACAAGGTAAAAAAGAAGAAACATTAAATCCTATGAGAGTTTGCTTAATCTTACATTCAGTTATGTGCAGGAGATTTATTTCCTTCCCTAGTACTTGCACATTTCATCACATGCTCTCAAAGCATTTTACAAACAAGATGTTGGTGTTCTCATTTTGCAGATGAGGAAGACAGATTAAGAAATTGACCTTCATGTCACAGCAAGTTATTGCAGAAAGGCGATTAGAATCCAGGATTATGTAAAACTTCTGTTCAAATTGTAAGAGATGGCTACCTACTACAATGCTTGTTCTTTAATTCAAGGAGAATTTATGGTGCTTGTTATTCTTCATATTATTTACGTCTGAATAAAAACAGCTGTTCAAGGAATATGCCACTGAAGTTTATGCTAAAAAAGCATGAATAAATGTCATTTTGCCTTAATACATACGATTTTTACTGCAGACATGCTGCATGGCCCACACTGCCCATAACTGAACACCAGGTGTCATGAAACAGCCAAGTAGAGGAAAAAATGGATTGAAAGACCTATTAAAGGGAGAAAAAAAAAAGAGAGAGAGATGATCAGCAACTCATTTTACTACATAGCTAATTTCTTAGCCAGACAGTAATAACCTAGTGTTAGCCAATATAACCTTATTGATTAGTTGCTGCTTATACTCCTTTCAACATGCAGTTGAATAACATAATAGAAGAACAGGGAGAAAAACATTAATCTCTTACAGGGGTCCCTAGCTGACTCTACCCTTCTTTTGTCACAGAGGGAAACCCAACAGGCTGTTTATTTTGAGCTGCTAATAGGCCTTCTGAGTTGGCTTCTTCTACTAGACAAAACCATCTTTGGTATGCAGTGTACTCTGCTTCAGGAACAAGCTTTTACATCTAGGTCAGTTCTACTGTATTTTCCAAATTATAAATCAAAACAATACTTACCTATAAGCCACCATTTCACATTCTGGAGTTGGCCAATTCAAAATGGCAGAATGCTGCAAAACACAGAACCAAGAACACTCAGTGTTAAATAAAAAAAATACAAAATACAATAAGATAAAGTGCAGTGTCTCTTCTGTACCAGTTGTTCAAGAAGAGAGGTCCTTTGGCTGCGACTTAGCGTCCAGGCTTGCTCTCCTCGAGATATCAAATGAGCAATAATCCCTGCTGCAAAGTAGCTGACTTCCACCTCAACGCTGTGCAATAATTTACTGATGTGATCTATAAAGTCTTTCCACATTAATTCAGAATGGAGCTCTTTAACTTCAGCTATGTTATTCTGTGAGGAAAAAGAAAAGGAATTAAGAAAATTCAACAGAAATATAACCATATAAAGAAGATGAATATATAAACTTAAAACTACATGGTGAATATAAACATGAGAAGATTTTTGTACATCTGGGTAACAAGCAGATACCAAAACACTCTTGCCTTTCAAAACATTTCCAGTTTACTGCAGGAATTTGCCTCAAAATTAAAAGATTTTCTCATCAATTATTTAAAATCATTAGTACAGAGAGTATACTAATTTAAAGACTAGTTTATAACATTCTCAAATACAGTAACTTCAGATTTGCACACTGTTGAGGTTTAATGACTTCCACTGACTTTCAGTCTAGTTCATGTATTTAGACCTGTCAGAAACTTTCTTAAAAGTTCTTTTTGTTCACAGTAACCATCCATTTCAAAATTACTAGTGCTTTAGGACAACTGACAAAACAGTCCAAAAACAGTGTGAGTTATAAAAAATGCACATTATAAAGATTAAAGAAGAACTTTAACACATTAGGCAAGTTTTCACATGAACATTGTCATATTAACAACTTTTAAAAGTCTGTGATTTGATACATATTTTTGTTCATCTCACCAGAAGTCCAAGAACCTTCTGTTGGATGGATGACTCAGATGGAAAAGACTGAAAAAAAAGAAAATTGAGTAAGTAACCATTTACACTAGTTACCTAAACAGTGTTAATTATAAACCTGAGTTGACAATCTACAACCAAAACCAGACTTCTCACCTCCAGGACTCTCATGAAGAGTTCCAGCCCTTGATTTTCAATGAAGTGCCGACAAGTTGTTGGAGATTCGTCAGTGAGGTTCCAAAGTGCACTCAGTGTGAACTTGAGGGTAGTATCTACAAGGTTCTGATTTGTTTTCTGTTTCACTATTTGAAGAAGTTGCTGGAAAAAGAAATAGTTATGATTGCATATCCAAAAGAAATGTATTTGGTTCTGTGTTTGCTTCTGGACAGATTGGCGTAATGTATAGTTATGATTTATAGGCAGAATAAACTAACAGCTATGTTTTTAGGGTCAAACTATTCCAAGTAAAATGTTTATCAGTTCTTTTCTCCCTTTAAGCATGGTTGTCTGCCTCTGTCTATAACATATTTGCAGTAACTATTATGGACAGCAAAAAGCCATCTGCACAATTCTTGTCCCCACTCGACTATTGCCAGCATTGGCAATTTATCCTGAGTGTTCTATTTTTAAATTATCTTTAGTTTTATATAATGAATTTCAAATCAAGAGATTTCTGGTCATTATACTTTGGATTGATTTCTGACAGTATTTTTTTTTTCCATTATCCTTGGAATGGTTTTTTGCCGTATTTTTTTTTTTCCCCACACTTTGACTTCTTTTCATCTATGCTATTGTATCTCATTGCCACTGTATTTGATATTATCGCTAATAAATTTCTGTTTCCAAAAACCATTCAAACAAAATACAGGTTAATGTGCTCTAGTAATTCCATCTAATTGATTTCATTCTCTAGCTTCAGAAATACTCTTAGGATGAATATATAGAGAGGGTTGGTATTTTTGTCTGTCAAGATGGTATTCGACTTACCCTAACAATGAAAAGCTCTGCTCCAAGTTGAGCCGTTTGCTCTGTTGAAAGCTATAACAAAAATCAGACCATGTCAGCTTTTTTTCCAGACATTAAAAATACAATCTGATTCCTTAAAAATTAAAGTTTTGTACCTTTGCAGCAAGAATAGAAATTATGGCTACAGCCATCCTTTGCATGTTTTGATCTTCATGATTACATAGCCACTGCATAACAAGTTTGGCTGCTTCAAACCTGTAAATTGAAAGTTAACTTAGTTTTCAAGAGTGTAAGTCTTATTAAAAGAAAAATGCACACAGAAAATACATTAGATGTACATGCATTAAGCCAAAAACCTAGAAGTATGCCTTGTACCAAAAACGTAGAAATACACAACAAAATTACAGGTATTCCCTGAGCCTCAGTAGGCTTTGAGGCAGATGTTTAGGGTCTCTAATAGATGATGTATCAAGGTGCACAGGAAAGCACTTCCTTCTAAAGCAGCAAGAAAGTTTTTGCACAATCTTCTGAAACATCAGACCAACATGTTTCAAACACTTAGCACAAAATATCTAAGTAGAAAAATCTCTGCAAAAGCAGTCCCAAAGTCCCCTGAAGAACTCCCAAATTCTGTTACACCTGATTAGCAATAGACCTGCCCAGACAAAGTAGAAATACCAAAGGATTTTTTCCTGACCTGCATTCAAAACAATCCTGAATCGTGGACCCAAAATACCGTAGGTCAGACAAATACAGCATATTAGAATGATTTAAACTGATCAAACTGAGACCAGAAACAAACTTTGTGAATGATCATTAAGCTTTCTGATTAGCCACACTCATTCAAAACACCAAGAAAATTATGAGCCTACTTCAGTACTAAGCAGCCAACATACAGAAAAGCATTCCAAGCTGCAACTCTTTTTAATTGATATATAAAACTTGCCTGTTAAATGGAACATCCTGAAGGATTCTGTCACTGCACAGTGAAAGAAGGCAATTCTTTTGCAGCTATAAGAAATGAAATCAGATACACACATATTTCAGAATGCTTTCTTTCTATGAATCATTAAACATATTTCCATTTTTATTATGAGCTGTACTGAAAACAACTGCAACAAAAAGAAAAGGAAAAGGTCAGTCTGAGAAAGGACAGAAAAAGAAAAAAGAACTTTTATGCAAAATGAATTCTTTCACAGTGGGATTCACTTTACATCTTGTGTTTAAACCTATGCACCGTGAACATGAGAGAAGGAGTTCTGAAAATGCCACGATCTTCACCAAACAAGGATTCATTTACCTCCTTGTACTTCACCATAAAAACTGATGTCTTTCGATAGTAAGACTTGTCCAAATCACACTTTCATCCAAGGACTGGCCAAGCACACAGGACTTTTCCAAGAGCCATCAGTAGCTCATTCTATATTATTAATGTTGCTTAATCAGTGATGCAACTCTCAAACAACTCCTACCACACAGTTGATTGCTCAGAAACTAGCTTAGTAACTAGAGTTCTCAAATGATTCCCACATTGACTCTTTGAAGAAGAAAGTTCCTTCAATGCATTAATCATTATTTATCAAGTGAAAAAAAAAAAAAAGCTTTAGTTAATCATAAGGAAATAATTTTTATCCACATATCTGGTTTGCCAGAAGAACTGTTTTGTTTGTTTTCAAAGGACAAGATAACTCATTTGCACTTCTATTTCATTCTACCCAGACAATGGTTTGGTCAAGATAAAATTAGTTGTTTTCCATCTCTTTTCTGTTTTAGCTTTTGTTTGTGACATGTGCAAGGAAGCATTCGCTATTGTCAGCAGGTTTACCTCAAATAGAAAATACCTCATTGCAAATCAGCCACTACTTCATTCAGGGCTTTAATTTCATTAAATTACTTTTAAAAAGCCACATTACCATAGTCCTGTAAGGCAGGAAGTACAAAAGGAAGCAATATTCCATGTAAATCCTGCACAAATACATCTGTACACTCATTTGTTCACAGCTGTTCTGTGAAATGTGAAAAAAATCTTTCCAAGGCCCACAAGAGAAAACTACAGAAAACAAAACTTAGTCTTTTACCTGTTGATGATTAGGAAAATGTTCCATGGCCTTCAGGAGTAAGTGAGTGACATCAGCCAGAAGGCGCACAGGCATGCCTGCCGCTAGGTCCTGCTTCGTTAGGTTGAAGACACACGCACTTGCAGCTAACTGCACAGGCAAGTTCAGGGGGTGATTTCGCATTCCAATAACCACAAGCTGAAATGCAAGAATTTTGCCCATGTTACTTACACAACACCCCAAGAGCAATATACTGCTGCCTGAGGCTGCAACAGTGATTCACAGCATCCATTTTCTGCCTGACTTTTATTCAAGTGAAAAATCCATATGGTGTGATTTTAGTGCTAAGTAAGAACCTTTCCTTCTGCTGGGTGTTTCAAAGCAGACAGTGCTTCTCTGAGCCCTTCTCCATTGGTTGTAGCATCCTCTCAAAGGAGATCTATATGGAATGCAAGAGGTTTTTAGGAAGATCCAAGTTTTGCTCTACATACTTGAATAAAAATCAGCAAACTCTTTCAGGGATGAATGAGATCAGAATTTCTGCAGTGCAATGGAAGTGTTGTACTAGATTACTCGTTTGTGACTAGCCCCTTTAGATCAGATCCTAAGCTTCTGGTTTAGTATGGTTTAGTATCCTTAGCTGCGGGTTTAGCTCCATCCTGAATTATCATCTTCCCTGCTAATACTTCTTTTTAGGATCACAGAATAAAATAAACCATTTCTGGTGTTCCAGCAATGTAAACCAAATGTCTAGAATGTGTTTCTAAGGAAGCTTCCTGTAAATGCCACTAGTTAGTCTAACACATAACACTATTTGTTCACTTGTTACCATATTAGAAGCTGACAATGAATAAAATTATCAGGGAATTAGGCTAGGTAAACCTTTGGTTTGACCCAGTATGGAGATGTGTTCCAAAAACATTTCAGCCCTTAAAAATAATTTCAAATCATATGCTAAGTTACCTGAAAAAAAGAAAATGCTATGAAATAGTCTAGAATAATACACTGCTAGGGCATCTTCACCCTCCCTATTGCTTAAAGCAGTGTTATTTTTATCAAACACTAAAATTCTAAAATTAAAAAAAATCACAACAAAAAAGTGTAATAATCATAAAATAATCAATACCATATTTTTTGAGATGACCTCCTTAAATTCAGTTTAAGGAGCAATTATCAAAACTATCAAAAGTATATTACTTTACCTTTAAAATTTCAGGTTTCGTTTTTTCCATTACATGTGTCAGGCTGAACAAATGGAAGAGTGCTTCTCTCACAAAGAAGGCCCGTTCACTGTAACGCTTCAGTGCTTCAGAAATCTGAGTTTCATTTGCTTCTCCTGACACCTATGAACAAAGAAATAATCTTTAGTGTACAATGTCATCACTTTATTTTAAAAATTTTGCTCTTAATAAGCGCAAAGCTGCAATTTCAAAGGTCTTAATATTTTGGCAAAATGCTTCAGAAGACAAATGATTACCTACCCACATTAATCCATAACCACACAATCTTCAAATATTCTTCATGAGATGGTATGATACACTTGTATAAGCCAGAATTATGATTCAATCATGTCTTTAAGCAGAACTGTATGAAACCACTAAGTAAATAGAGCAATTCTAACCATTAAAAATTGATTTTGACTCACCAAATGCTTAAAGGGAATATTCGTAATTGAATGCTCCAGCAAATGAAGCTGATAAAGTGAGGAAGAGGCTATTCAAGCTCCAGCTTTTTTGGCATTCACTACCACCTCCATCAATGGACAGTATTTCCATTCTTTACCTACAACAAGCTTCTTCTAAGGTAAATCAATAGCAATAGCTTACAGCCCTGCATTAAAGAACTCATACTCACTGTAAGAGAAGGGTGTTCTTAAAACCAGACTTGAAATGCATGTAAAAAGTAAGCAATGCTCTAATTTAGGTGCATTAGAAGCTATGGGCTGCACACTTAATATGAACTTAAGTTTACAATACAATAACAGGCACGTATTACAGCCTTCCAAGAACTGATACTGTCGTGGGTTTTGCTTCATCTTCTTTATTGATTAAACTAGGGCAATCGTATCCACTGAGCATGGAAATGATCTCTAGCTAACTATACATGAAGAATTTACACTCGGCTTCATGATATTCCACCACCAACTCTCCCTCAACTGCTACGCAAACTAAGTTTAAACATTTAACAATTCAGAATTTTCTATAATTGGTTGATAAAAGAACTGTTGTAAATATAGAAATATTCTACTTTCAATGTCATCAAGTATTGCATCCTGTTTATTCTTTAACAATATCTAGACAAAGCAGCTAATGTTTCCATATTGTTACTATGGAATTTCAGGTCACAAAAATCAACCACTGCCTACAGCCTCCTCCTGACAACTAAGCCTCTGAGGAAGGGAATATGAACTGTGTTTTGCTAACTCCAGTACTAAAAGTTCATAATGAATTTCATGTTATTAGGACCTTCTTCATTCCTGTCTTTCCATATCACAACCACTCACATGAAGCAGGTATTCTAAATAGCAAGGATTATATTGAATTAGGTTGTACCAAATGCAAGGTGTTGTTTCCTGATGCTGTACACCAGTTATATCAAACAGGACCCTGCTTTCTACAATACAGCATTTTAACATTCATACACACTACTGTCAGCTGTAACAACTACATAAATACTCAAGACACCTAGACATTAATGATGGCCAAACGTTCCCAGCAAAAGTGATCACTATGATAAAGATGTTGCAAGTGTCTCATTTCACTCGCATGTAACCACAGCACTGGAAATGTTACAAAATTTTAAAACTCAGCTTGCACAGGAGACACAGCTACATTATACAAATGTACAGCCACATTATACAAACTCTTCCTCAATTCATCTGCAGTTTGTAGTCATTCTCAGCACCCAGCAGAAGACAAAACCATCTGTGTTTTGGTCAAGGATACTGTACTATTGACACTGACACATCTAAAACATCTTTATCCTTTAATGCTGACCCCTTCACATAAGGTAGAGAACAGCCTTATTCTTCAGGCCTGTAAGTATATGCATCTTCTGAAGAAAGAAGGGCAATGTCTTGTTGTCTGGCACTAAAGGATAGACAAGTGCACTTCAACAAATATCATTTCATCCTAAAGGGCCAAGTAATTTAGGATTTGCACAGGAAGAGGAGCGATTTCATCCCGAGTGGTTGCTTCTAACACATGCATCACCAAAAGGCCTTTCAAGGTTGAGTAGAAATAATGTAATTATGAAGTGTAAGTGGTGATGGAGCAAAGCAGTAGTTCTATTTTACTCTCTCTATTGTCTTAAGCATGCAGTGCTCAAAGCTTATGCAAATTGCACTGCCGGCTCCTGTATATTACTGTCTTACGATAGAGGCCATGCTGAAAGCCAGAGAATATTATTCCAATATATCACTCAGATATGGTTTATCTTTCAAGGTTTATCTTTCTCATATCTGATATCTTAAATCAAGATTTGATGCTCACTGAAAAGAGGCAAATATATATATATATACGTGTATATATATATATATATATTATATATATTTTCTTACAGTAGTATAATGTAAAATTTGCAGATTCTGTGACAAAAATGAGTAGCAGTTTGGTAGACAATCAATAACTTCAACAGTTAAAATTAGCGAATGAATGATGGGCCTGCAGCTTTCTTCAGAAACACCCACATACATTTGTTAAAAATGCTTAGCTCTATTTTTGCCCAAGCATTTAAAATTTTTCAGCTATCCTCCCACAATTAATCCTCCCACTTAACCTTTAGGTTTCCTTCTCCTGTTAGGAATTCGGAGTAGCCAGCGTCTGTAGCTAGCAGTCCTACAAACTGCATTGTTGGCCGTTGCTGAATAAATGCTTCCACAGCCTTGTCCGTAACGTGCTTTCTTCCCGAAATGTCCAGAGACACAAGGTTAGGCAAGATATCTTTCTGTTCCAGTAAACGAAGTGCTATGTCTGATGTGAACTGTTTATCATCTGAAATATCAAGATGATTTAGGTATTTTAGTTCTCTTATAACATCCAAAATCTGTGTTGTGGTCATTTTTAAGCATTTCAGGTGGTGCATGGTCAAAGATTTGAGGCGGTCTTTGCAGGTAAGGAGTGCAGTTATGTCAGTGACAGAGGTGTTTGATATATCCAGACTTTCTAATCTAGGAAGGGAAGCAACATCTGCCAAGTCCTCGTTGTAGAACAGAACATTGGTAATACTCAATGCACGAAGCCCAGACAGTTGACTGAAGCACCTTTCGTAGGGGTCTTCCAAGGAAAGAGTTAACGAGTTCAGCACAAGGCATTGAAGGTTTTGTTGGATCCATTTATTGCTGCCAAGTCCACTTATAATGTCTGTGATTGTTATATCTGCATTCACCCCAGTGGCATCAAGTTCCACCAGCTTGTGATGGCAGAATGCTTTTCGGAAAGCCACTGCAGAGATCTTTGCTTTCCGGATACAGGCACGTTTCAGACGCATCTGGTTGCCTCGGAAGATGCCCACAGTTCCATCATTCAGCAGCCCTGTTGGGAAAGAGAATTAGCATTTGGCTGTAGCGTTCTGTAACTTAGCTCTTAAGAGCCCAGAAAAATAAGTGTTAACAAAGAGAATTGCAAAATAATGCATAATATATCCCTATGTTACTGATTCCATTCCACTGATAACCATGTCAGGTTAAGATTATGAACTTACTTGTGGAAAATTACAAAAATTTGAATTAGAATTGGAACCAAATTAACATGTAGTACATATCCAGTATCTACTTGGCTTAGAACATGCAACATGCAATAACTGAAACATGGAAATGATTCAAAATCTTTCAGACTACATCCTCCACTTTCTTGATTTTCTCGTGATAATTGGTTAGAAATGTGACACAAACAGAATTACGTAATTTCTGAAAGTTTTCTTTCCCCAGAGGTGTGCTCTTCCCTCATCAGTTTTGTTAACCTTAAGTACAGTATCAGCAATCAATGAACATTTTCCATCTTGCTTTAACTAACTGAATAATTTCGTATTTGATTGGATTCGTAAGTAGGATCAATATACTAAACTAATGAAGTTCTTTCATATATGCTCCAAGAAGGAGGTAAGAGTGTTGCTTGGAAACAAGCTAAATCTGAGAAAGAAACCCAAAAAGCTTTTTCAAAGAGAAGAAAGAGGAAGACTAGGATAGAGACTGGGAAGGAAAGACAGCAATGGAAAAAGAAAATGCGATGATCTTGTTTAAGATTATAATCCTGCAGCTGTGTAGCAAGAAATCTGCATATGTAGTCCAGTCATGCAGCATGCTGGCAACATCCTAATTGAAATAATAGATTTAGTTCTGTGCACAGGATTATCCAAAATGCACAGGAAATCAATATATCTTATTTGCATCATATCAGTAGTGTGATTACTGCATTATAGAGAGTGATAAGAGAAGGCTATGGTTGCATAAGCATGTATGCAAGAGGAATAGGAGTAAAGTGTCCTCCTACTTTCACTTCAGAGGGTTATAAAGATCTCCTGTTTTGAAGCTCCCATCTACAGACATATTGAACATAGGAAAGAAACTGAAAATGCAATATATATTAAAAAAAACTGTAGTTTGTATAGATTTAAGTAATTAGGGAGCATTCCACTGTAATGATGTCAAATTAATGTGAACATTTGTACATCTTTCTAAAGAACAAGCAGTTCAGGCATTTCTGAACAGGTAGTTGAAGTATTTCTATTTTGAAGAGAAAAAGGAGGTGAGTGAGCTGGTACCTAGGAGGAGATAAAGTGCAATAATTTGGTAAAATATTACTAAATGACGTTTACATTTTTGCTAATCATTTCACTTGAGGATCAAGTCAGGGTATGGCACTAGGCTACTTCAACCACACCCTGCTTATCTGGCAGGCACCTTATTACATGCTGCACCCTGCCTGGCACAGTGTTTGTGATGTCTCTGCAGCTGGAACTGTCCTCACTTCTACTAGCATTGAAGGAACAGGAACTTGCCACCAATCTGCTTTCTTGGGACTACTATAAATAATGACATATGAGAAGGTAATGCAGGTTGAAGACAGAGGAGGGTTGGGGTTGGCCTTTTGTTTTTTGGAACCACTGCTTGGGCTATACGGCCCTGGAAATGGCAGGAAAAAAAAAATCTGCTATATGCAGATTCAAGTTATTTATTAGCCACATCCACCTACAGATGCAGGGTTCTTGGTCTGTTTAAATACTCTTTCTAATACTGTGCCTCATCTCCACATAAAGTTCCAGAAAGAGGTCTTCTGACACTTGTTTTTCAGACTAGCTTAATGCCTGCATTCTCTTTTCGTGCTAAGATGCCTTTATTGACATAAACTAACATTTGCCTTTGTCGTGCTTAAAGCAAACCACCAAACAAGACATTAGCCCTCCCTTCAAATAGGTGCTCACATAAAGCATATAAGATAGTAGTCAAAACGTAAAGAACCAATGCATTTTTCATAGTTCTTTTTTTATAATAAATTTGAAACTGACTTCTTTTCAGCAAATAATTCCACTTCACTGAGTGTGCTAAGAGAGCTAAGAAAGTTGTTCACCTTATTAAATGCACTGACAGTTAAGAAAACATAGTTTGACTAATTGCTCTGCAGGAAACATCATTTCTATCAATTATCAGATATTTGAAAACCATTAGAAAAGTAGAATTGAATCAACCCAAAATGCAAAAGAAGAACCTAAGGGAAAAGACCTGATGTTCAATTAGAGAAATGTTAAATTAAATTTGTAATTTTGAGACGAAAGACTTTCTACTGAGAGCTTTGTATAAGCCAGGCAACATTCAGCTGAAGCCGTGGCAAAACTGGAGTAACAGAATTTCTCTATTAAGAGAATAAGGAATATAGTATCCAACATCAGCTTCTAATAGAAAAATACATCAGCACTACAGTGTCATATTCCAGTAAAATACTTTCAGTGATGATCCACAAGTAATTGTCTTTACCGTGAAATGCCATCGTCTGTAGCAATCGATCAGCCACTTCTTGAGGAAACATCCCCGGCTCCTGCAAACACAGCGTTCCATCCTGCCTTTCTGTGCAAAACTTCTCTAGGTTGGCAGTCAGGAAATTCAAGCAGATGTCAAGCAAAGAGTAAGGAGAGGCTTCCTCCTGTCACATGCAAGAAACAAGGATTTTATTCAAATCATTGTCTCTATCTACAAGCCTTCCATTACTCTAACATGTTGTTTTTGAGAAAACCATTCTGTTGTTAGCCCGATTCTCGCTGGAAAAGGCAAATATTGCAGGAGAGGAGGTCCATCTTTGGAGGCACACAGCAAAAGTGCCTCAAGTCACAGGATAAATGATGCTGGGCATGACCATACGCTCCCACAGTTGTGCCTGGAGCCACAGTGTTGTACAAGACAACTGAAGTCTTGCTTAGATTCATTCAAAGTATTTTCCTAATTTCTGATTTAAAAAAAAAATCAGAAATTATGAAGTCTACTGGGAATTAAGAATAAAGATAGACTGATGGAAGAAAACCACATACCATAAATAAGCAAAACGATAAGCAGGAAGACAGTAGCTACTACGCTAAAAACCTGGAGGGCCTGAAACCAAGTGTTCTAAGTGGTGTCCAAAAATACAAGCAGAAGATTATGATAAATTCAGGTGCTCTTGAAAACCCTCTAGTTACTTAGGTATAATTGCAACAGAGTACTCAGCTATTCAATTCACAAGACAATAAATTACTTTTTTAAAAATGACATCACTTTAGCTTTAAAATGTATTTGCAACCCATTAAAATGACAGAAAAAAAAAAACACAAAAACACTCCCCCCCCATCTAGATCAATTATAATTTCCATCAAGGTTTAACAAGAAAATTGTCAAAAAGCTGTCAAAGTAAAATACATATTCGAAGAATATATGGTTCATAGATTTGTTTAAACTTATTAAAAAGTATGCTGGAGACACATATGTACCAATCATGGCATAAAAACAACCCAACATGAAGATGAAACATGGTCTAATTACTACATTAGTCATTTAAAGTAAAAACCTGTTTTGAAAAATAAATTATACAAATGCAATATAGGATTAAAATGATAGCACTATTTAAATCAAATCTTATTTATTTGATTAATTTTAAAATTATTATTTGATTAATCTTAAATTTCAGTCAACCCACAAAAGAAACCTACTGCCAAGCCACAATAGAAATGTGGTTCATATCAGAAAAGGAGACTCAAAAAGATCTACTTTAGTTCCAAACTTTGTGTGGCAATAAAGTAACAATTATTGCAATATTCTTTCTAAAAATACTTTTTCCTCCTTTTTATCCTGAAGAGTTGGAAATCATATACAGTAGTATCTTGTGTACAAAGGACAAAGTAGAATATAAACTTAAATTATACCTTCAGAGATTAAGATTGCATGTTCAGGAAGAAAAACCCCAAGAATTTGTTAATTCAGTACTTAATAATAGCCCACTGTTTTCAGCCACACAAGTTAATCAACATAAAGAATGACTAAAAAGCATCATGAATCATCCCCAGCACTGCACAAAGTAAGACTGGTACACACTCCCTCAGATCATTTTGAAAATAACAGCACCAACTGTTGCCACATCTCATCTGTAGGTAAAATTGCTGCTTGCTGTTTAGGATGAACACTCTGGCTAATTTCACCTCTCTTTTCTAGATCATTTGAATTCTCTTCTGTTGCTTCATAGGCTCACTAGAGAAGCACAGAAGTATATAAAAGGTTATACAGAAGAAATATAAAGAAAAATATAACAGTAATAGAGCTTTAAAACCAGCTGCCTGTGTCAGAAGGTTGGGAGGCAGCACAATAGGTCAAAGACAGCTTTGACACTTCTCTTTAACAATTCATGTATTGTCAACACAGACACTGTAGTTTAACACAGTCTGAAGACTAAAGTACAGGCTTGGGATCTAGAAACTCTAAAATATTCAAATGCAAGTTCTTTCTGCAGCATTTGTCATGCAGATCCCAAGCCCTCTGACTTGATTTCTCTGAAAAATATGTGTATTTGTCTCCTAGAGATTTATGGTCCATAAAGGAGATCTTCAGTGCTTAAAGTTTTTTGGGCTTTTTGTTTTGTTGTTGTTTTCTTTTTAAAGATATTGTTACGTTTTTGAAGAAATAGGAGTTATTTTTCTGATGTGACTTGCTGAAAACAGCAATTTTGGCTGCCTCACACTTCAAGCTGATATGAAAAGGAGGGGGAGAATTTGGAATCTTCAACATCTTTTGTTTCTTTGTAACAGGCAAAAAAAATGCCTGAAATACTTCTAAGGAGAAATCCAAATACTTATTCAATCCAAATACTTATCCATTTTTAAAGGAAAGAGATTTCTTTTTACCCTGAAATGAGTGCATATCACACCCTCATCTGTCATTAGCTCCTGTGCTTGCAATTTGCTGCTCAAGTAAAACAGAAATAGAATATTGACTCTGCTAAGTCCTTCTGGCACTGTCCCCTCATTTGTGCCAGAAAAGCTAAAATACTTCACATATCAGTGTGCAAACTCCAATGAGAGTTTTTGGCCTTGCAGACAGGCTGCTATCAAATAAATCAGAAAGTTGTCAATCAATACTTCTAAATGGCCAATCTTTAATTTGGAACCTATAATTTTAATATTAAATAAGCATGTTAAAAGACCATACAGGGCATCGCTATAACAATAAAAAGATGTAGTCCATTAGCAAGAATCAGTGATTCTCTGTTAGTGTCATGATTACTTATTTACATTAACTGCACTCATTCCATATGTGGGAGACATGAAAAAATATTTTCAATGCTTCTGTAACTTGATACATAAAGACTGAAGAAACACAGCTAAAGAAGACTCTCACTTTTTTTTTTCTCCATTTGTTGAGATTACTTTATCTAATGAAGTCCCTGGACAAGCATCAGGAAAATGATATCCTAAGTTGCTAGCTCCCAAAACAAACCAGCTGAATTGTATCCCACAAACTTACGTGAACCAGCAGCATTCTTCTTCTCTAGCACAGCCTGTGCCCCTTCATTTAAGGGAGAATATTGTCCAGCTAAAGATCACAGAGGAAGAATTTTCATTTGTATTTAAATGCTCACAAGTTTAGCATTTAAATATTTCTTGCCTCTGTTGAAACAAATTATGCTTTTGAGTGTCAAACTGAAAATAAATTGGGCCTTTTCTTTGAGTACACTTCACTTTCTGCTTCTAATAATTTAAAATGCAATGCTTTAAATTAATATGTCAACCAAAGCTCAGGATTTTTTTTTAATTCATAAATATTTGAGAAGAGCTTTTATTAGGTAGATGTGACTTTTATCATAGCCATCTTAAATATTTGACAGTTCAGTTTAACCTCAGGGTTTTTTTTCATTTTATCAAAACAATTTAGTGGGGGAAAAAAAAAGAAAAAAGAAAAAAAGAACAAAAAAAAACAACAGAAAACCAACACCCAAACCACAGACCATGCATTGCATGATACAAATCTTGGCACCTTCCTTAGCTAAAACTTACATTAATAAGAGTAAGGTGACACACCTAAAACCAACAGATTAACAGAATGAAATAGAAAATAGAATAACTCAATTTAGATGGACTTTTAAAGGCTGATTTCAATTAATTATTTAAAAAAAATAACTTTATTCATGCTTAATATAACCAAGGTAAACATAACAAAGGAGGGTGGAGGAGAGTACGTGGCTTTTGGCATCTAACAGTAATCTAATATAGGCAGCAGACTGAAATGCCAGACCTGCTTTTATATGATGTCATCCAGGTCAGCCAGTGTCACTGGCAAGGTTCTCAAAAAAAACCTCCACATTTTCTTTCAAAATCTTCTCATATCAACTTTAGATACTGCTAGAATCTATCTTACTCTATATTTCAAAGTCCAGATATTAAAAAAAAAAAAGGTGACAAAGGGATATCTTAAAAGACCTCGTATAATTTACAGACTCCTAAACCTGATATTATGCTTACATTAACTGGTTGGGTGTGAACACGTCTCAAAATGAAATCCTGCTCCCTTTGAAAGGCATTACCATGCAGCCACCCACTTACGTAACAACAGAAGAAAACCATAAAAAAAAAAAAAAAGACACATCGGTTTAACTGACATTTTCCATCAGGAATAGCAGTCTAGCTTTGCACGAAAAGTAAATTCCACAGTTATAAAAGCCTTTTTCACTACAGGCATTTGTGATCCCTCTGAAAGATTTTGTTTCTTTTAGCTTTGTGTCTAAGACTCATTAAAAAAAAAAAAGGTAGTTTTGATGAGGTTTTCATCAATCAGTCTATATAAAACCATTGAATGCAGATACTAATTTCAGCTGCAACAGAACAATTTGTTATGGTTTATCCATCTTTTACATCCATTTATTTATTTTGGTGTGACAAAACCTGACTATGCAAGGCTTCTGTATAGTCTACAAAGCTCATCTGCCTTTTTTTTTTCTCCTTTTTTTGTCTCTCTTTCTTGAAAACTCTAAAGAGATAGTAATACAGTGCAAGGGATATTTCAAGTAGTGACATTTATTTCCCTCAAGAAGCTGGTAGGAAAATGAGAGCTATTCAGGAGCTTAGTGCCTGTTTTTGGACATTCATTTTCACCCTCTCCCCACAGCCCTAAATGCATTCTTAAAATGATCAAAAAAGTAGTAACTCAAAGAGTGGCCAAGAGCCCTCTTCTGAGCCCTAAAAAAGGAAGGGGAAGGCAGTAAAAAATAAACAGATGGTTCAGTGATTAATGCTACAGAGAAAGCTTTTTGATCATCCTTCCTAAGTTAAAAGGAATGAAACAAAAGTAGGTGTTTAATTAACTAGCAGACTCAAGGAAAGACTAGAATTCACCACATTTAATATCTCCAATTAATTCCTTTGGCACAACCAGTAGGATCATGCTGATTAAAGTCGCTAGGCACATAAGAGTGAGAAGAGATCACGAGGGGACTAAAACTAAATAGTATGATATTCAAAGCCACCTGTTGGATCAAGAAGTCCAGACAGGTGTTCATCAACTCAAAATGACCAGAGAGGAGAACCTGGACAGTTTACTTAATCACAGGGAAAGATGTTTTCAGGTTGGACATCAAGCAAAAATAAGGAAGTATGAGTGCCATATCCAAGGCATTAGGAGACCTCAGGGGACTATTTCTATTTGGGAAATACTTGCACCACTTCTGTTTGAACATAACAGTTACTAGAATACTCTGGAAAAAAAAATATATATATTTTTTTTTAAAAAAAAAAAGCTCATTGGGAAGAAGAGACAAAAACAGCTTTTCTTACTTGTGCAGCAGATCAAAAGGTGTGAAAAATGTGAGTGCTGGCTGTATGTGTGGCTGTTCTGTATTGCTACCAAAGAAGAAGAAAGGTTACTGAAGTAAAGTACAACCCTAGCACAGTGACCAAGGTGCATGCAACTGCCACAAATAAAAATTTTGCCATCAATACAGAGGTCAGGCCATAGCTCTCCAACACTAGACAGAGCAGTCCTATGGGGGGCAAAAGATGGTAGCTATCTTTAAAGCAAACATTGGGAAAGGAAAAAAAAAAAGAAGAAGGAAAAAAAAAAAACTTACTGGTGTTTAAACGAAGTGATGCCTGTAATAAGGAAGGATTTAGCCCGCAAGACCCAGGGGGTTCCAGTGAATATGCACACTCATCTCTCAAGCAGGGGAGCCGCCAGAGCAGCACCCACCCGCGCAGCTCCGTGGCCTGGCGTTAGGGGAAGGAAACGGCGTTTTCACCGCCAGCACCAAGGCCCGGGGACGAGCCCCGGAGCTCTCCCCACGCTGGGCACCCCGAGCGCCGCAGAGGGGACACCCGCGGCGAGAAGCGCCCGCCTTTGAGCTC